TGCAGCAAGGGACAGAAAACTTGAGTGAAGTGAACAACCTGCCAAGTGCAGCAGGGCGGCATCAGTCGCCTTGGTGTAGCTGACATAAAGGTGCCGAAGACCCTTTGCTGCCCCAATTCCTTCCAGGGCAGAGTCTGAAATGGATGGTGCGGTTGAGATCAAGCCTCTCAAGCAGTGGCAGCTTGTAGAGGCGCCTGATGCCTGTCACACCGAAGCCTGAAGAGCTACCGAGTAGGATGTCTTTCAGGCGGTTCATGGTGGACACATGGCCATGGATAGCGTCCGACAGGCAGGTGAGGCGACTCAAATCCAAACCGGTCGGGATCGGCCTGTTGTCTGATGCACCTTGGATTCTCTGGAGGGCATGCAGAGAGAGGGAACGACACAGGCAGAAACGTGTCTACGTCAAGGCAGAAGCGCATGCCAAGGCAGAAGCGCATGCCAAGGCAGAAGCGCATGCCCAATGCAGAAGCGCATGACAAGGCAGAAGCGCATGCCAAGGCAGAAGCGCATGCCAAGGCAGAAGCGCATGACAAGGCAGAAGCGCATGCCAAGCGCACGCCAAGGCAGAAGCGCATGCCAAGGCAGAAGCGCATGCCAAGGCAGAAGCGCATGCCAAGGCAGAAGCGCATGACAAGGCAGAAGCGCATGCCAAGGCAAAAGCGCATGCCAAGGCAGAAGCGCATGCCAAGGCAGAAGCGCATGACAATACCGGCAAAGCCATTCCACAACGAAAGTGGCAACTACAACCAGCAGATAGTTGTCCTCACCTGCCAGATTATGTTGCTAGCATCCTGGCTCTGCTGGAGCAGCTCATTCACATTCAGCCTCAAGCTGCTCACCCTCTACCATTCCTTCGCTGCTGCCAGCTCCCTCCTCACTGCTGTCAACTCCTCCTCAGAAAGTACCAGCCGCTGTCTCAACTCATTCCCCTCCCTCCTCCTCTCCTCCTTCTCCTCTACCACTTCAGTTTTCGTGCCTTGCTCAGCCTCTCTTGCCTCCTTCAGCTGCGCTCTCAAATCTGCTACATCATCCCCAGTTCTTTTCTCCCCTTCCTCCATTTTCTTCGTTGTCGATTCCAGCTGCAGGCTAAGGGCCACTGTGCGGCCCTCGCACTCAGCCAGCTCCCCCCTCACCCCTGCCAATTCACCATTCACTGCAGCCAGCTCCCCTCTCATTATTCCAAGCAGCCCTCTAACAGCTCCGGTTAGCTCGTTCGCCTCCCCTTCTCCAGCCATGTTGTCAATCCGCTGATCAGGCTGAGCCGACTCCTCCCCGTCAGGCAAACGGAGAAAATGCAAGCATGAAGGGCACAGGTTGATGGCTGTAGAGTGGAGGAAGAAACTACATAGGAAGTGAAGAACAGAGGAGAATATTATGAGTCATGAAGTCGCCGTACCTCTTCCGGACCGTGGATCAGAGAGACACCTCGTGCTGCCAACACAAACCGAGTTGTTCTGATGGAGAACGCCCAAATATCAGCTTGGCAGAGGAGCGAGTCGGACTTGGAAGGGCAGCAGAGGTGCAGCAGGAGAACGGGGAGGCTGGTTGAGAAGAGACAGGAGCGTGATCATGTGAGGCAAAAGAGATCGTGAAGGGAGGAGGAAGCCAAGAAAAAGGCGGTGCAGGCTTATGATATAACGCCTCGCTACCCACTGGGTCAAAACGAGGTTACCAGAGGGGCGCAGCGGAATTGCACGTTCACATCCCAGATACGTTACATATGAACTGCTGGACCGTGACCCCAGGCAACTTACATGCTCTGAAGAAAATCGAGCAGTCACTGGTTGAGGGGGACGAGGGTTTGAGGAGAAACGAGGGAGGGGAGGAATCAGGGTGCATGGCTACGGGAGTACCCTTGATGCGTGTCCGTTATGGCGAACGAGGCAGACGAGACGTGAAGAGGCAATCGACAAGCGTGAACTAGGACAGGCATCGTGGCACGGGCGTGGGCGTGGCGTGGGCGACGGGCGTGGCATGGGCGTTGCATGGTGGGACACGCGGGTAGCATGCGAGTGCGTGCAAGGGACAAGGGCGTCTGTCGCCTTGGCAACAGTGCGAGGGAAACGGCGGATGGCAACAGGCATCATCGCGGGAGTCGCACCTCGACGGTCGCCCGACCGGAGTTCGCTGTGTGGGCTCGAGATTGTGCGTTCCGCAATAAACAGCGTGCTAGGTTTCCCAGATTGAATGCCTCCGCACTTTCACACCACCCTCGAAACTCCCGCTGTGTCATTTTGCTGATTCGCAATTTCTGATGAGAGTGACCTGCCAATGATGTATTATTTTTCTTCATGTCGTGGCGAGCGGACTGCATACCTGAGACCTAAACCGAGAGATGCTTGAAAAACTTGTCCTAGTCCCCTACCTGTCGGTTGAGAAATAGACCAATTGGCTGCGTTCTGCAGGCAAAAAAGGGAAGTGCTGATTACATCAGAGCACCTTCCGAAAGCGAGAGATTTTGCCTCGGATCGAGGGTCAGCCCGCAAATTTTCGCCCAAATCTGGCACAACGTACCCGAACCTAGATACATCGACATGCAGAACAGGTCCATCTACAGATGACATCTACGTCAGGGAAACACCCCCCTTGCTTTCCTCCCTGACAAATCTGACGCAAACTTGACACAATGCTGACGTTCGCTCAATCGCGGAGTCCACCTTGAATGTGGCGTTACATCAGCCGCAATTTGGCTCCTCTCCTCGCTCGCGCTTTCCACAATCTGGCCGCGTTGCTTCCAAGCGAGGTTTGGAAAGTGCACCTGGTTTGAGTGGTAACCAGTACCCTGAGTAAGCCATGATGGCATGGGAAGATGACGAGGATGAAGCAGAGTATGAGGAGAATCCGGAGTCTGAATATGCATTGATGGCGACACTGCTGTGAGACAGAGATGATATGGGACTGAGGAGCGGAGGTGCATATGGGAGGAAAGAATAGAAGCCGGTGACGCGGAGCAGGAAGATAGGAAAGCAAGAGGAGGAGAAGGGAGAGCGGGCTAAGCACCATCCCAAGGACAGGCTGGTGTGTCACACCACAACCCTGCTGGCTGAGGCCAGCACCATCGCAGTACAAGGAATAAAAGTGGAGAACGCCATCATTGACACCGGAGCGCGAAGTGTACTGATGGGGAGGAAGCTTGCCGAGCGGTTGATGCAGCAGGGGAAGCTGGAGACAGTGCGCAAGGGCATGCTGATCATGCCTGCAGAAGGCGGACCACCCAAGTGGATGCCGAGCACAAAGGAGCCGGTAGAGACCGTGCTGCTGCCAGAGCAGAGAGGGGAGACGAGGATTAGAGTACAGTGCGGGCTCTCAGAGTCCGACGACTACGACCTGCTGGTGGGGATGGAGTTAATTTATAAGATCGGAGCACAGATTGACGCCTGGGGGAGAAGCTCACCTTCAGAACCGAGTATTGGAAGGAGGGAGGGGAGCAGGGAGAACCGCCGGTGCGATTCGTGAAGATGGAGCCACGGAGGGCCCTGCGAGCCACCGAGCCACAACAGGAAGCAAAGGAGGAGCGGAATAAAAAGGGGGCGAACGAAGCCGAGCAGGTCCTGACAGAGACACTGAGCCGACAGGTAGAAGCAACGCTGGGTGAACGGCCAATCACGCTAGTAGGAGTGGGACTAGCAGCGGCGCTGGAAGCAGGATTGGTCTTGCAAAGATGGATCTTGGTAGAAATAGACCCAATAGCCAGGCATATGGCCTGGCATCATGCAGAGCAGCTGCGGCGGAGGTATCCGGGACAGATGTGCAAGACAGTGATAGAGGAGACCAAGAAGGAAGGAGCATGGGATGTGTGTCAGCTGAACGAGGCAACGGTATGGGGATGGGGTCAGGTGGATTTAGTGGTGGAAGGCTGGGAGTGTCAGGGCACTTCGAGAGCAGGGAAGGGACGGGGAATGGGAGACTCGCGCTCGGCGTTGCTGAACGAGCTACTACAAGTGCTGAGATGGATCAAGGAAGGGGGATCTCGGTGCTGTTATGTAGTGGAACATGTAGACATGGTGAGAGGCCCGTGAGAACCGGGGAGAGCAACACAAGAGAAGGCAGTGGCGGAGCTGGGGGCAGGCGTGAGTTAAGATGCCGCGCTGAATGGAGCAAGGGCTCATCGGGTGAGAAGGTATTGGCAGAATATCGTGGAACCTGAGAAGCTGAAGCAAGGATTAGCCGAATTGAGAAGAGATCTGAAATTGCTGGTGGAGGACATTCTAGAACCAGGAGGAACGTCGGCCCCTGTAGAAAAGCGAGACCATCCAAAGCAGCTGCGATGCAACAAGCCAGGCAAGCCTAGAAGGATATGGCCCACCTTGGTGGCCTACGAAGGAGCACGGGGTTTGTGATGGACGAAGGCAAACCGGGACCCGGCATGGTCTATGACAGAGAGGGGACGGTGGGAAGAACCAACAGCAACCGAGCGAGAACTGGCAACGGGCTACGTACCGGTGGCAACAGCGACGCGAGGGGTGCAGGAGCAAGAGCGAAGGGCCGCCCTGGGGTGTGCTATGGACCAGCATGCTCTACGATGGCTGTTAAAGGAGATGATACTGCAGCACGAAAAGGAGCCGAGCCGGCAGTTGGGAGGAGAGAGCAGCAGGCACATCAAAGTGAGCCGAGCATACCTGACACAAGAAGAAAAGCGGGGAGAGGCTAAAGAAGAAAAGAAGAAAGAGGAGCCTGAGAAGGTAGGCCTGAGACAGTGGGAGCTGAGCCCCGACCTAGACAGCAAGGTAGCAGCAGCAATCCAACAAGCATTGGCAGATCATCATAAGACTTTCGCTTACACATTGCAAGACATGGGGAAGTGCAAGTTACACGAGCTAGAGCTACCACTGGACACCATGGTGCCCATCTACCAGAGGAAGCGGCAGATGAGAGACGAAGAGATCTGCCGTTGCAAGTGCACAGAATTGCTGGACGCAGGACTGATACGCCCATCCAACTCACCATATGTGGCAGCAACAGTGGTGGCTGCGCGGATTTTCCTGATAGGAGAGGTTTTAGCCAGAAGAATGTGCGGCGACTACCGAGAGCTGAATCACATAACAAAAGCAGATCTCTACAGCATGCCGGCTGCGGACGAGAACTTTGACAGGATGGAAGGCGCGGTGATCTTCTCAACACTGGACATGCGGCAGGGGTTTAACCAGATTGTGATCAAGGAAGAAGACAAATGCAAGACCGCCTTCCATGGCGTAGACGGCTAGTACGAATGGAACGTGATGCCGTTCTGAGGAACGCATCCGCAGTGTTCCAAAGAGTCATGGATCAAGTGCTGAAGACAGTACTAACAGCAGCTTGTTATATTGATGACGTGGTGATCTACAGCAAGAGTGAAGAAAAACATGCTAAGCACCTGAGAGCGACACTGGACGCAATAGCAGCCGCGGGGCTCACCTGCGATCCGGAGAAATGCAAGATAGCCAAGAGGACAGTAGCTTACCTGGGATTTGAAGTGGAAGGAGGAAAGATGGGAATCCAGGAGGCCAAGGTGGCGGTGCTCGATAAGCTGGGGGCACCAAAAGACAAAGGAGCCCTCAGAGCACTCCTGGGGTTTCTGAACTACTACAGACGCTTTATTCCCAACTTCAGCAAGAGAGCTCACCGGCTGAATCAGCTGCTGAGGGAGGGGCAGGCATGGTAGTGGGGACCAGAGGAGGAGCAAGCGAGAAGGGATCTGCTGGAGGCCATCAAAGCAGGAATGGTACTGCAGCTGCCAAGGAGAGATGCCCCGTTCACGCTCTATACGAACTGGAGGAGCATGGGCATGGGAGCAGTACTGTGTCAAGAGGTGGAGGGAGAAGAACGAGTGGTAGCCTGTGCTAGTCGCAGCTGCAGCCAGCTATAGTTCATACGAGGGGGAAGGACTGGCAGCCATGTGGGGAGTAACTCACTTCAGGGCCTACTTGTAAGGGCACAGATTCACGCTGATAACAGATCACTAGCCGCTCTTATGGCTGATGACCAACAGAACCCTGACAGGGCGGAATGTCCAGTGGGCGATGCGACTGGAAGAGTATGACTTCGTCATCAAACATCGCGCAGGAAAGACACTGCAACATGCAGACGGGCTGTCCCGGAACCCACCCCCAGCAGTGGAGCAGCAATGGGCAGCAGTGGCACCAGAGGGAGAAGAGAAAGGGCGGGCACAGGAGCCGACGGACAAAGAGAAGAGGACATATTGCAAGACAAGGAGACACTGTACTGGGTGCAAGGGCTGACAGAGGAGACTACAGCAATGACAGCAAGGGCAAGGAGTAGAGGAGCGCAGTATCGATGGCTCCAGAACCAGATGCAGCTGCGCACGACAGAGGGATGGAAAGTCATGCCTAACCAAGTGAGAGGGAGCAGATCGTGCAACAAGTGCATGAGAAGCTGGGGCATTACGGGGGAGCCAGGACAAGGCAGCTGCTGGGCACCACCTATTGGTGGGCGGGTATGAGAAAAGATGTGGCGCAGTGGGTGCAGGGGTGTGAAGCATGCCAACGGAATAGGGCGGCACTAGAGAAGGGTAAGGAGGAGTTACGGTCACTGCCCATACGCAACTTAGGATTCCGCTGGTTGCTGGATCTGGCAGGCGAATTACCGTAGTCCAAACAGGGAAAGATGTACATGGTTGTGATGATTGAGCATACGACAAAGTGGGCGGAGGCGCGAGCCATAGCCAGCAAGAACAGGGGGCTGATCCAGGAGGCGTTTCTGGACTACAGTAAGTACTGACCAGATTTTGGGCATGCGGGGAGGTGCTGACAGATCAAGGCACGGAGTTCCAAGGCAGCTTCGCAGAGTTCTTGAAAGAGGCGGGCATCACTCACCTTGTGACATCACAGTAACATCCGCAATCTGATGGGTTGAGAGAGAGGATGATTAAGACAATCAAGAGGGGATTGCGGGTGTACGGAGAGCAGAATAAGAGAGAGTGGGATACAGAGCTGCCGTGGGTCCTGGCAGGCTATCGCTTTGCGAAGCAATCAGCTCTGAAGGATGTGTTCCCGTATCACCTGCTGTACGGATGAGAGCCTGTGCTGCCTGTGGATGCGCCCAAGCTGCTCTCCGAGCCAATGGGAAAAGACGTAAACCTGTGAATCAGACTCTTCGCCAGCTCGCGCCGGGGCAGGAGAGCTTGTTCCCGAGACATCCCGGCGCGAGCTGGAAAGGCGGTGGAGAGCGTCAGTGAAGGGCCCACGTAAAGTGCTGAGGGCACGACGAAATCTCAGTTCCCAAGAGGGGAAAGCAAGTGGTTGTTGGCGAGCAGAGAAATCTGTAAATAGGATGAGACTCAGTAGGCATATCGCTTTTCGCTTGTTTGTTTTCCTTCTATACTGCAAAGATGCTCTAAGCCTATTAGAGTCTAAGCAGTGCGGGAATTCGGCCCTAAGCGGACCCGAGCAGCCATTGCAAGGCTTGTAACGGAGAGATTGGTCCCAAGACACCAGTGATAACCTACAAGTGGCGGAATGGACTGGCGGGAAGAGAGGCATAGAAGAAGGATAAATGAAGAAAAGGGTAGAAAGGGGAGGAAGGGGAGAAACACGACACTCCTTGCAGCACTCCTGTGTCTGCCCGCCCAACCACGCGTCACAAGGGTCATCTTGTAGTGGTGTGTTAAGCCTTCTCTGCGCAACCCTCCATAGGATCTTTGATCTAGTTAGTGGAACCCTTTTGAACTAAGAGCAGAAGATATCTATTTCTCATAGGGTGCGATGATCGACGCGATCTTGAAAAGTGCAGCTTTCCACGCCACCTGGCATCCTCACCTCACCATTGTGGTTGAACTTGAGCAGGTAAGATGGCAACGCCTGCTTTGTCCATTACAATCCAGGGCGGTGACTGGCGGTGCAGGGACGTGTACCTCACGTACGGGCTCACGCTGCAGCAGTTCACTACCATGAACCAGGTGAGAACTGCACTATTGCCATGAACCAGGTGAGACCTGCACTATTGTCATGAACCAGGTTAGACCTGCACTATTGCCATGAACCAGGTGAGATCTGCACTATTGCCATGAACCAGGTGAGACCTGCATAATTGCCATGAACCAGGTGAGAACTGCACTATTGCCATGAACTAGGTGAGACCTGCACTATTGCCATGAACCAGGTGACACCTGCACTATTGCCATGAATCAGGTGACACCTGCACTATTGCCATGAACCAGGTGAGGTGAGACCTGCACTATTGCCATGAACCAGGTGACACCTGCACTATTGCTATGAACCAGGTGACACCTGCACTATTGTACGTTAGATCATCCCACACCACACTGGGCTCTGATTCTCTATGAGCATCTTCAGCCATTTGTGTTTCGACCCCCCCCCCTCCTCCCCCCCCCCCTTCCCCTCCCTCCTGCCCCTCCTTCTCCCCTTCCCTTTTTCTCTCCCAAGGGCATCGACTGCTCCACATTCCTCCTCCAGGGGCGGGAGCTGGCAGTGGGTGAGCTGCTAGAGGCGTGCACTGCTAGAAATAGATTGCAAATCCCACTTTTGTATTTGTACTTTTATACCGTATTTTAGGTTAGGAATGTTCTTGTGGATTGGGGTGTACTTACAAATCCCAACCTCACCTAATTGTAATCCCCCCAATCTCTAATTACCCAATTGGAGATTCCGGAGATCCCAATGGGGATTCCCTCCGATTCCGCCTTCATCCATTCTCTCTCACCTTGCCATGTACTTATAGAGCCTTGGGCTCCTTACATAATTAATTCTTTCAGCTCGATTTCTGACATGGTATCAGAACGACCTATTAGCACACGCGGATCAAGGTCCTAATCTTAATGTGCCCGCGCTGCGCGCACCTTATCGTCGCGACATTCATCTCGAGTCCTCGGAATTTTCAACGTGCTCCATTTTGCAGTCGCGCCTCTCATCGTCGCCGCCTTCGCGCTTGACCTCGTTGAATTTCTCATATTGAGAGCTCTCACATCGTCAATGTCCTCTTTGGTTCTCCTTGGACGAATCTCAATTTCGACCATCTCTTAAAACTCGTTTTCGAGTTTCCCCTTGGACCCCACCAGAAAAGGCGAACTCCCCTCGCGGAATCGCCTCAACGAACGTCTCGCGTCAAGCAAGAGCAGGTACACAGGTGGAAACGGAGCGGAGCTGGTTGCGGAGCTGGTTGCAGAGTTGGTTGCGGAGCTGGTTGCGGAGCTAGTTGCGGAGCTGGTTGCGGAGCGATGTAGCTGACAGGGCCTAGGGGTGTGTGGGGGGGTGTATGGGTCCGGGGTTAGACATAGTCTCAGATTCAGTTTCAAGTCGGCGTTTTAACGAATCTGTGCCGACGCCATTTCCTTCTTAGCGGCATTTCGACGAAGCTGCCGGAGTAATTTTCAGTAATTCTCATCGACTGATTTTCAGTAAGTTCTTAAAGGTGACTTAAGAGCGTCGCGTCGTATTGGTGCATATTCGTTTGCACGTCATCCTATCGTCTGTTCGCATCATTTCGTTTGCATGTGTTTCGTGTGCTACATTGTTTGTGTGGTTTGTTTGGTGTGCATGTCTTTGCATGTTCATCTTGTGCTTGTGCAGATGTGCTTGGATTGTGCGTGACATCGAGCACATTTCAACGAGCATAGAATTGTTGAAATCGGAGCACATATAAAGAAGTTACAAAGAAACGTTTGATGGATTTGTTACAACTTATTGGAAGTCCTTGGCAGCTGCTACACCAAAGTTGGAGAGCCCTATAATGAGGACGGACCAGCATCTGTGGGACTTTTGTCCTCACCTTGCAACTGCAGCATTTGGGGTTTGGATGCCAACCTGGCACAGTGTGAATTTTTTCTTGCTAGGCTGGTTGAACCTAAGGATGGGGAGTTAAGACTTTGAATCTTGTCATGTTCTTGACCAAGGGCCTCTAGGGTCCTTCCCTTTCATCCTTCCCTTCCTACCCCATCTTCCAACTGTGCTTCAATGCTTTTCCATCATTCCTTTGAACTTGTAAGCTTCAATTATTGTGACTCTGAGGACTGTCAATTTCTCCTACGGCAGATTACCCCCAAGTGCGCCAAATGCCATAGCTCACTTGCTAGACTACGAAATTAAGTGATTCAACTCTCATTGGAAATCTGACATTGCAAGCTACAACATATACAATTTTCAGTTTGTTTCACCGATTGGAGTTTTGGATATAGCTTTCCGAAGGTCGTGAGTTTTCTAGGCTTCATAACAAAGTGTTGCAGAAATTTCTGAGCCATTGAATCATCTGCGTATAGCCTTCTCTAACCAACAGTTGGTATCAGAGCCCATTATCACGCATTTGGGACCTTAACTATGATAGGAGATAAGGAGGACTCTCGTGGAGGTGATACTTCAGCCCAAGGAGGCAGCTCAACCCAAGATTCTGGCATTGCAACGCAAAGGGGAGCATGTACACGCCAGAGGTCACTGCTTAAGGAGGTGCTGAAGAACTTCACCGTTGAGAAGTTCCCAGGAGCTATGATGATTGGGCATGGAAGATGCAGCCCTGCTTTCGACAAATTGGCATCTTGAATCTCATGATTGGAACGGAGCCCAAGCCAAAGGAAATGGCAGAGCAAGCGGACTGGGATGAATGTTCATCTACTGGGTACTATCTACTATCACAAAGCTTGGAGTTGAACCAGAGGCATCACATCATGTATGTGCTACCGGAAATTGATTGTGGGCCCAAGGCATGGGCAGTGCTCAAGGACCTGCACGCTCCGACATCGGTTGCCGCTTCTCTCATGCTGGATCAGGAGCTGTCCATGCTCCGGTTGAGCGAGAATGAACCTGTGCAGCCTGTACTGGACAAGATGAGAACTCTTCGCAAAATTGGCGATCGCAAGCATCACGTACCCTGAGCAGACCAAGTGTCTCAAGATGCTCAGCCTGCTGCCCGAGTCTTGGCTGCAATTTACAAGCGGACTCAACTTGCCACAAAACCAAAGTTCTCTGGACATTGGAGTGGATCCACACCAAGATTCTGCAAGAAGATTTTTGTCGCTGTCAACTACGCGGAGGTGATGGTAGCACCAGTGGCTATGCCATGCAAGGGACATGGAGGGATCAAGGGCGTGGCAATCGCGGTCGCTCTTATTACAACCAATGTGGTCGCGGAACTTGGAACCAGCGGGGGCGTGGTGGCGCTGGTGCAAGAGGAAGAGTTCGTCACTCCAGCAATGACAACAGTGAACCGCGCTTGAGGGGAGAGTGCTGGTATTGCAAGGAAGAAGGGCATCCATGGTTTCGCTGCTCTACCAAGCCCGATTGGTGGACCCCTTGGAACCAATCGCCAACTGGGGAATGGAGGAAAGCAACTACATGGAGGTGCGAACATGATAGCTGATCCTGCTGAAAAAACCTCCAAGGATGACGGAGGAATGGGAAATAAAGAGAGGGACGCTGGACAGTTTTACCATGTGTCTGACAAATGCGATTGCAACACAGCTGTTCCAGAGGCTGGAGAGGAACTGCATCCGCTTGATAAGAGGGTCATGGACTCGGGTGCTGCATGGACAATGACACCACGCAAGGACTTGCTGGATGATGTCCGAGCGCCTCCAATCTCCGAAGTGCACTCACATCTGGACATGCAGTGAAGGTTGCTGGAGCTGGTCGAGCTGCGTTCAGAGCACCTGATGGTGGACTGGTTGTGCTGAAGGATATGTTACTCGTACAGTACCAGGGCTGAAGGCCAATCTGATATCGCTGCGCAAGCTAGGTCAGGCCGGATTCAGCACAACCACCAATGGGTCCAAGACATTCTAGGGGCTGCGAGGAGATCATGTGTTATGGGATATACACGAAAGCAAAGATGTCTTCAGATCCATATGGCAGATCCCTGCATTGATATGGGAATGAACAAAGAAGGAGATGGGAGCACTAAAGGCATGATCTGGAGTCCAGGAGGAGTGCAATGCAGTTAGTGCTGCAGGAGTGACGGTTTCTGCAAGGTCGGGGGAGACTGATTGGGAAACCGCACACAGGCATCTAGGGCATGTGGCTATGCCATTGCTGCAGCAACTGCATAAGGAAGAGGCAGTAAAGGGGCTGAAGCTTTCTGGGCAACCAAATGATACCAAGTGCGACACGTGTTTGCTGAGCAAGTTCACACGGTTCCCCTTTCATGGCGTAGCTGGGAAAAGCAAGAAACCATTGGAACTAGTGCATATGGACCTAGTACGACCTTTTCCAGTTCGAGGAGGTAAGGGGGAAAGGTACTTCCTGACTGGAGTCGGCTGATGGTGGGCAGTCTGGTCATGCTACCTCAACAATACGAGATGACTGGTTGCCGTTCGTTGAGCGACAATCGGGACGCTCGTGCAAGAGCATCAGAACTGACCGAGGTGCAGAGTTTCTAGGAGGAGGTCTGATTGCCTGGCTCAAGAAACAAGGCATTGAGCATCAGCTAACGACATCCTATACCCCTCAGTCAAATGGCATTGCTGAGAGGGCTAATAGGACCATTCTGGAAACTGCGCGAGCACTGCTAATCAAATCAGGGCTAGGGAACTCCATGTGGCCTCATGCGGTGAGGCATGCTACAATGGCAAGAAACCGCGTACTCACAAAGGTGGCTGATGATACTGTATGTGGGTGCCGCTGGAGAGGTGGCTTGGAAAGAAACCTCCAGTGGACATGCTTAGAGTGTTCGGATGCATGGGAGTGGCGCATTTCCCTAAACTGTACAGGACAAAGCTTGGAGCATCTGTGCTGTGGTGTGTGCACCTTGGGCTTAGAGCAAGGGGTGGCTACTCTGGGAGCCCTCAAAGAATGTGCTTTTTGACAGTCGGGATGTCAAATTTGTGGAGAACATCATGTATGGCCAGTGGGAGAAGCAGCCGGAGGCAAGGGTCACTCGGCAGCTGCAACAAATCACTATGCAGTTCAACTTGTCCGAACCTGATGACAACGAAGTCACTGCGCCAACGGCAAGCGGTACTGAAGAAGGGAGCATTGAGGATATTGCAGCTGATGCTGAAGTCAAGGAACTGGAGCAGCAGCAGAAAGAGGCTTCCAAAGCACCAAGTCTGCCAAATTGGAGGAAGTAGACTGGTGGGGGGACGAAGGATTGGGTGAACGTGACAGAATGGGTCAACCCAACCATCTTCCCTGCTCGTACCAGAATGGCAACGAGAAAGCTGCTGAGCTCTACAAGTGGAGGAGCCACAACTGAGCAGCAGCAATAGGCTCAAGACATGCAAATGGGTGAGGCATGCAAATGGGTGAGGCATGTAAATGGGTGAGGCACCTAAATGAGTGAGGCATCCAAATGGGTGAGATGCAAATGGGTGAGGCATGCAAATGGGTGAGGTATGTAAATGGGTGAGGCATTTCAATGCGTGAGACATGCAAATGGGTGAGGCATACAAATTGGTGGGGCATGCAAATGGGTGAGGCATGCATTGGTTGAGGCATGAAAAATGGGTAAGGCATGCAAATGGGTGAGGCATCCGAATGGGTGAGACAGGCAAATGGGTAAGGCATGCAAATGGGTGAGGTATGAAAATGGGTGAGGCATTTGAATGGTTGAGACATGTGAATGGGTGAGGCATGCAAATTGGTGAGGCATGCAAATTGGTGAGGCATGCAAATGGTTGAGGCATGCAAAGGGGTGAGGCATGCAAATGGGTAAGGCATGCAAATGGGTAAGGCATGCAAATGGGTGAGGCATGAAAATGGGTAAGGCATGCAAATGGGTGAGGCATCCAAATGGGTGAGACAGGCAAATGGGTAAGGCATGCAAATGGGTGAGGTATGAAAATGGGTGAGGCATTTCAATGGTTGAGACATGAAAATGGGTGAGGCATGCAAATTGGTGAGGCATGCAAATTGGTGAGGCATGCAAATGGTTGAGGCATGCAAACTGGTGAGGCATGCAAATGGGTAAGGCATGCATATGGGTGAGGCATGCAAATGTGATTGGCTTCCAAATGGGTGAGGCATGCGAATGGGTGAGGCATGCAAATGGGTGAGGCTTCCAAATGGGTGAGGTACGAAAATGGGTTAGGAGTACAAATGTGTGGGGCATGACAATATGTGAGGCTTTCAAATTGGTGACGCATGCAAATGGGTGACGCATGCAAATGAGTTACGCATGCAAATGGGTGAGGCATGCAAACGGGTCAGGCATGGAAATGGTTGAGGAATGCAAAGGTTTGTGAGGCATGCGAACAAGATAGGCATATAATTGTGCGAGGCATGCAAATGGGCGAGTCATGAAGATAGGTGATGCATGCAAATAGGTGAGGCATTCAAATAGGTGAGGCATGCAAATAGGTGGCACATTCAAATTTGTGAAGCATGCAAATGTGTGAGGCATGCAAATGGGTGAGGCATGGAAATGGGTGAGGCATGCAAATGGTTGAGGCATGAAAAATGGGTAAGGCATGCAAATGGGTGAGGCATCCGAATGGGTGAGACAGGCAAATGGGTAAGGCATGCAAATGGGTGAGGTATGAAAATGGGTGAGGCATTTGAATGGTTGAGACATGTGAATGGGTGAGGCATGCAAATTGGTGAGGCATGCAAATTGGTGAGGCATGCAAATGGTTGAGGCATGCAAAGGGGTGAGGCATGCAAATGGGTAAGGCATGCAAATGGGTAAGGCATGCAAATGGGTAAGGCATGCAAATGGGTGAGGCATGAAAATGGGTAAGGCATGCAAATGGGTGAGGCATCCAAATGGGTGAGACAGGCAAATGGGTAAGGCATGCAAATGGGTGAGGTATGAAAATGGGTGAGGCATTTCAATGGTTGAGACATGAAAATGGGTGAGGCATGCAAATTGGTGAGGCATGCAAATTGGTGAGGCATGCAAATGGTTGAGGCATGCAAACTGGTGAGGCATGCAAATGGGTAAGGCATGCATATGGGTGAGGCATGCAAATGTGATTGGCTTCCAAATGGGTGAGGCATGCGAATGGGTGAGGCATGCAAATGGGTGAGGCTTCCAAATGGGTGAGGTACGAAAATGGGTTAGGAGTACAAATGTGTGGGGCATGACAATATGTGAGGCTTTCAAACTGGTGACGCATGCAAATGGGTGACGCATGCAAATGAGTTACGCATGCAAATGGGTGAGGCATGCAAACGGGTCAGGCATGGAAATGGTTGAGGAATGCAAAGGTTTGTGAGGCATGCGAACAAGATAGGCATATAATTGTGCGAGGCATGCAAATGGGCGAGTCATGAAGATAGGTGATGCATGCAAATAGGTGAGGCATTCAAATAGGTGAGGCATGCAAATAGGTGGCACATTCAAATTTGTGAAGCATGCAAATGTGTGAGGCATGCAAATGGGTGAGGCATGGAAATGGGTGAGGCATGCAAATGGGTGAGGCATGCGAATGGGTGAGGCATGCAAATGGGTGAGGCATGCAAACGGGTGAGGCATGCAAACGGGTGAGGCATCCAAATGGATGAGATATGCAAATGGGTAATGCATGCAAATTGGTGAGGTATGCAAATGGGTGAGGCATGCAAATGGGTGAGACATGCAAATGGGTGAGGCACGTAAGTGGGTGGGGCATGCAAATGGGTGAGGCATGCAAATGGCTGAGGCATGGAAATGGATGAGGAATGCAAAGTTTTGTGAGGCATGCGAACAAGATAGGCATACAATTGTGCGAGGCATGCAAATGGGCGAGAAATGCAGATAGGTGATGCATGCAAATAGGTGAGGCATTCAAATAGGTGAGGCATGCAAATAGGTGGCGCATTCAAATGTGTGAGGCATGCAAATGTGTGAGGCATGCAAGCAGGTGAGGCATGCAAGTGAGGCATGGAAACGGGTGAGGCATACAAATGGGTGAGGCATGCAAATGGATTAGGCATACCAATGGGTGAGGCATGCAAATGGGTAGCACAGTCAAATGGGCTTGGCATGCAAATGTGTGAGGCATGCAAATGGGTGAGGCATGCAAATGGTTGAGGCATGCATATGGGTGAGGCATACACATAGCAAAATGGACGCAAACGGGTGAGGCATGCAAATGGGTGAGGAAAGCAAATGGGTGAGGCATACAAATGAGTGATGCATGCAAATGGATGACGCATGCAAAAAGGTGAGGCATGCAAATGGGTGAGGCATCCAAATGGGTGAGGCATGCAAATGGATGAGGCATGCAAATGGGTGAGGCATGCAAATGGCCAAGGCATGCAACTGGGTCAGGCATGCAAATGGGTGAGGCATGCAAACGGGTGACACATGCAATGCAAATGGGTGAGGCATCCAAATGGGTGAGGCATGCAAATGGGTGAGGCATGCAAACGGGCAGGGCATGCAAATGGGTCGAACATGCAAATGGGTGAGGCATGCAAATGGGTGACGCATGCAATGCAAATGGGTGAGGCATCCAAATGGGTGAGGCATGCAAATGGGTGAGGAATGCAAACGGGTGAGGCATGCAAACGGGTGAGGCATGCAAATAGGTGAGGCATGCAAATGGGTGAGGCATGCAAACAGGTGAGGCATGCATATGGGTGAGGCATGCAAATGGGATAGGCATCCAAATGGTTGAGGAATGCAAATTTTTGAAGCAACCAAATGGGTGAGGCATGGAAATGGGATAGGAATGCAAATGGGTGAGGCATGCAAATGGGTGAGGCATGCAAATTGGTGACGCATTCAAATGGGTGAGGCATGCAAACAGGTGACGCATGCAATGCAAATTGGTGAGGCCATCCAAACGGGTGAGGCATGCAAACGGGTTAGGCATGCAAATGGGTGAGGCATCCAAATGGGTAAGGCATGCAAACAAGATAGGGATGCAAATGGTTGAGGCATGCAAATGGGCTAGGCATGCAAATGGGTGAGAGATGCAAATGGTTGAGGCATGAAAATGGGTGAGGCATACAAATGGGTCAGGCATGCAAATGGGTCAGGCATGCAAATGGGTGAGGCATGCAAATTGGGGAGGTATGGAAATGGGTCAAGCATGAAAATGGGTGAGGCATGCAAATGGGTGAGACATGCAAATAGGTGGGGCATGCAATTGGGTGGGGTATGCAAATGGGTGAGGCATGAAAATGGTTGAGGAATGCAATGTTTTGTGAGGCATGCGAATAAGATAGGCATCCAATTGTATGAGCTATGCAGATAGGTGATGCATGCAAATATGTAAGGCATTCAAATAGTTGAGGCATGCAAATGGGTGGGGCATTCAAATGTGTGAGGCATGCAAATGTGTTAGGCATGCAAATGGGTGAGGCATGGGAACGGGTTAGGCATACCAATGGGTGAGGCATGCCAATGGGTGAGGCATGGAAATGGTTGAGGCACCAAATGGGAAATGCACGCAAATGGGTGAGGCATGCAAATGGGCAAGGCATGCAAATGTTTGGGGCATGCAAATGGGTGAGGCATGCAAATGGGTGAGGCATCCAATTGGGCGACGTATGAAAATTGGTGAGGCATCCAAAGGGGTGAGGCATGCAAATGGTTAGGCATGCAAACGGATGAGGCATGCAAATGGGTGAGGCATGCAAATGGGTGAGGCATGCAAATGGGTAAGGCATCCAAATAGGTGACGCATACAAATTGGTGAGGCATCCAAATAGGTGAGGCATGCAAATGGGTGAGGCATGCAAATGGGTGTGGCATGCAAATGGGTGAAGCATGCAAATGGGTGACGCATGCAAATGGGTGACGCATGCAAATGGGTGACGCATGCCAACGGGTGATGCATGCAAATGGGTGGGGCATGCAAATGGGTGGGGCATGCAAATAGGTGAGGCATGCAAATGCATGAGGCATGCAAATGGGTGAGGTATGCAAGGTTTTGTGAGGCATGCAAATGGGTGAGGCATGCAAACGGGTGAGGCATGCAAATGGGGTGAGGCATGCAGATGGGCTAGGCATGCAAATGGGGAAGGCATGCAAATGGGTGAGGCATGCAAATGGGAGAGGCATCCAAATGGGTGGGGCATGCAATTGGGTGAGGCATGCAAATGGGTGAGGCATGCAAATGGGTGAGGTACGCAAGGTTTTGTGAGGCATGCAAATGGGTGAGGCATGCAATTGGGCGAGGCATGCAAATGGGTGAGCCATGCAAATGGGTGAGGCATGCAAATGGGTGAGGCATGCACATGGGCAAGGCATGCAAATGGGGAAGGCATCCAAATGGGTGACGCATGCAGATGGGTGACGCATGCCAATGGGTGAGGCATCTAAATGGGTGATGTATGAAAATTGGTAAGGCATCCAAATGGGTGAGGCATTCAAATGGGATAGGCATCCAAATGGGTCAGGCATGCAAATGGGTGAGGCATCCAAATGGGTGACGCATGCAGATTTGTGAGGCATCAAAATGGGTGAGGCATGCAAATGGGTGAGGCATGCCAACGGGTGAGGCATGCAAATGGGTGAGGCATGCAAACGGGTTAGGCATGCAAATGGGTGAGGCATGCAAATGGGTGAGGCATGCAAATGGGTGAGGCATGAACATGGGCAAGGCATGCAAATGGGGAAGGCATCCAAATGGGTGACGCATGCAGATGGGTGACGCATGCCAATGGGTGAGGCATCTAAATGGGTGATGTATGAAAATTGGTAAGGCATCCAAATGGGTGAGGCATTCAAATGGGATAGGCATCCAAATGGGTCAGGCATGCAAATGGGTGAGGCATCCAAATGGGTGACGCATGCAGATTTGTGAGGCATCGAAATGGGTGAGGCATGCAAATGGGTGACGCATGCCAACGGGTGAGGCATGCAAATGGGTGAGGCATGCAAACGGGTAGGGCATGCAAATGGGTGGGGCATGCAAAAAGTTGAGGCATGCAAATGCATGAGGGATGCGAATGGGTGAGGTATGCATAGTTTTGGTAAGGCATGCAAATAAGTGACGCATGCAAATGGGTGATGCATGCCAACAGGTAAGGCATGCAAATGAGTGAGGCATGCAAACGGGTAGGGCATGCAAATGGGTGAGCTATGAAAATGGGTGAGGCATGAAAATGGGTGAGGCATGCAAATGGGTGAGGTATGCAAACAGGTGAGGCATGCAAACGGGTGAGGCATGTAAACGGGTGAGGTATGCAACTGGGTGAGGCATGCAGATGGGCTAGGTATGCAAATGGGTATGGCCGGCAAATGGGTGAGGCATGCAAATGGGTGAGGCATGCAAACTGGTGAGGCATGCAAATGGGTGAGGCATCCAAATGGGTGAGACATGCAAATGGGTGAGGCATGCAAATGGGTGAGGTATGCAAATGGGTGAGGCATCCAAATGGGTGAGGCATGCAAATGGGTGAGGCATGCAAATGGGTGAGTCATTCAAACGGGGAAGGCATGCAAATGGGTGAGGCATGCAAACAGGTGAGACAAGCAAATGGGTGAGGCATGCATATGGGTGAGGCATGAAAATGGGATAGGCATCCAAATGGGTGAGATAGCGAATGGATGAGGCATGCAAATGGGTGAGGCTTCCAAATGGGTGAGGCATAGAAATGGGTTAGGAATGCAAATGTGGGGGGGATGCAAATTTGTGAGGCATGCAAATTGGTGACGCATGCAAATGGGTGACGCATGCAAATGGGTGAGACATGCAAACGGGTGAGGCATGCAAATGGGTGAGGCATTTAAATGGTCCACGAGATTGCGTCGTAGTGTGGGAACACATGCTGGTGACGCTGCCCAAGGGGAAAGCTGGGCACGGAACTGTGGAAGAGCCCTTTGCGTATGTTGTGAAACTAGAGTTTGCTCCTAGTACAGGGATTGGTGTCTTGTATGGCTTGAAGGAGTGTTCTTCCTTGAGAACTTTGTGAGTGGCCCCACTGTCGAGGGTGAACTCTATTGTGGCTGAGGTGCTTTGGGAGCTGGAACACTGCAAAGTCGTCTCATTAATCATGGCAGTGCTAGGGAATAACATGTTGAGGCGCACATCAGCAGGGGCAGCCACAGCATCCTGCACGGATTCTTGCGCTTCGATGTGATTGACTTGGCAAGGAGCATGATTGACCATCCCGCTTGGCCACTTCGAAGCGGTCCTATTGACGACATACCACTCGTCATCCTTCTTCTTAAAGCAGGAGGCAAGGGTATGGCTGGTGCCGCCAGACATCTGGCTGGCACGAGGGCCGTGCTTGATAACGTAGGGACATGGGGGGAAGCGGCTGCGCTGGAATGGTGCCGAAGCGGCATAGGCATGAGGCACGGGAGCACGGATTGCATTGGCCTTGGCTTGAGCGCTGCTGTCCTTTTCGGCAGAAAGGAGTGCGGATGAGACCTTGGCAAATGTGAGGTCCGCACACGCAAGGCCCAAGAGCATCTTGCGTGTAACTTTGTATGCCGGAGTGAGGCCGACTAGGAGAGCGGCTGCAGGGGCTTGCTCGGGGAAGACTATCCCCAACTGCTTGAGTTCACCATGAATGGACTGCACCTTGGTGACATAGTCCGCCATGCCTGACGAGTCCTCGAGACGCACTTGGAACATGCTGGGGATGAGTATAGCAACTCCCACTGCAGTCTTGTTCAGGAAGCGGTCTTCGAGGTAGAGCCAAATGGCGTTGGCAGACAGGTAGTTGTGGTAGGTTTCGATAAGTTCGGGAGGGGTGGTGCCCATGAAGACACTAATGACCGCGCCATCGGCCTTCTCCCAATTCTTGTACTTGAGCAGTGCAGCAGCATAAACTGTTTCGGCAGCGGCATTAGCTGGATCAGCGGACCTCTCGGGATTAGGAGGCTCTTTGCTATCACTGATGTTGAGAAGGACATTGTTCTAAACCCTTGCTTCTTCCCATGACTATCCGATGTCGTAGAGTGAAAGTCTTAATTGACGGTGGCGCCTCTTCAAAGTTTATCTCCTTCCCTCTAGTTTCGAATCTTTCCCTTCCAACCTAACCTAAATCCCTACCTCAGAGTGTGTTGATGGCAAGTGGAACTTCAATCTCATGTGGACGAATACCTTTCCCTGTTCTTTGTACCATCGGACCCTACAAAACTATCATTCAATTTCTGCAAGCAACCCTTGGAGACCATGAAATCATTGTTGGGCATGATTGACTGTCTATCGCTAATCCCAAGATTGATTGGACCCTTGGAAATTTTACCATCTCTAACTCTGGAAGAGACATATTTTAATTACCCTTTCTTCCTCTCCTTCCATACCCACTTTATGTAACCTTCTTTCAGCAAGATATTTAAAGAAGTCTTTAAAAGACTCAAGTGCTCAATTCTTTCTTTGTCTTTTGAAGAAAACTTGTGAAATTCCTTCTCCCTCTTCCCCTTCCAAGGCTTCCGAGTTCCCTTCTGAAAATCATCAGGTCTTGGATGACTTCAAAGACTTATTTCCCTAAGACCTTCCCTCTGCTATTCCTCCCAAGCGAGCCATCGATCACCGCATCACTCTTCTGCCTCGCCCAGAACCTACCGTTCGTGCTACCTATCGGATGAGTTCTGCTGAGCTGCAATAAGTCCAGAAGCAGTTGGAAGAGCTTCTTGAGAAAGGCTTCATCCCAGCCAGCTCCTCTCCCTATGCAGAACGAATTCTTTTCATGAAACAAAGGATGGTAGCATGCGGATGTGCATCGACTATCGTGCACTCAACAAGATTACCATCAAGAACCGCTACCCTCTGTCACGTGTGGAAGAACTCTTTGATCAACTCGGCGAAGCCACAATTTTCATGTCGCTGACGAAGACATCAAGAGAACTGCATTCAAAACTCGGTATGGGCATTTCGAATTTCTCGTTCTTCCTTTTGGACTGACCAATGCCCGTGCCACTTTCATGTGCTTGATGCACAACGTCTTTGTGATTTCTTGGACCGGTTTGTCATAATCTTCATTGATGACATTCTGATCCATAGAAAATCATTGAAAGAACATGCTGAGCATCTAAGACAGGTGTTCACTCGACTTCGTGAGCACTGTCTCTTCGTCAAACACAGCAAGGAGAGGAGGTGAGGGCAAGGAGAGGAGGAGCTGAGGGCAAGGAGAGGAGGAGATGAGGGCAAGGAGGGGAGGATTTTGCAAAGTGTTCGATTCCTTTCTTAGGCCATGTCATCTCACACAACCAGCTTGCCATGGATCCCTTCAAACTCAAAGCCGTCCAGGACTGGAAACCCCCAACTTCTCTGAAAGAAGTACAAGCCTTCCTTGGCCTTGCTAACTACTACCGCAAATTCACCGGCCACTTTGCTGCAATCACCTCCCCCCTATCCAATCTCCTCTGCAAGAATGAAGGATTCCATTGGGATTCGGACCAGCAAAAGCCTTTGACTCTATCAAGTGTGAACTAACCTCTTATCCTACCCTAGTCCTACCCAACCCTTCCCACCCTGATGTGATATGGACAGATGCCTCTCAGGTTGCAACGGGTGCAATCCTTTGTCAAGATCAAGGGCATGGCCTCCAGCCCATTGCTTTCGAATCTCGGAAGCTCAAGCCTGCTAAGTGCAACTATTCTACTCATGATCGTGAGGTGCTGGCCATCGTCCATGCAATCAAGAAGTGGCGTTGCTATGTCCATATGCAACCCGTCACTGTTCTTACTGACCACTGCACCCTGCAATACCTGAAGACACAACCCCATCTCACACCTAGATAGGCCCGATGGATGGAGTATCAGGAATAGTACGTACCTGAGCTGAAAATCGAGTACCGCGCTGGCCGCCTCAAGCCTGCTGATTCTCTAACCCGGCCTCCGCAATCTCAGGTCACCACCATCGGCAGCGTTACATGAGATGAAAGCTTCATCGGCAAGTTCATCAAAGGGTATCGTCGCGACCCTTTCTATCTCAATCTTGCTGCTAACGATCAATCCGTCCGCTATGAATCTCCTTTTTGGTATAAGGCAGATTCCCAAGTCATCTGCGTTCCAGCAAAACCTAAGGTGCAAAGAACCTAAGGTACTCAACGTGCCCTTTCCAACTACTTTGCAGCTTCCCAAGCACCGAGGACGGTGCTTGTTGCAGAGGGGAGTAATGTAACAAGACGCCGACGAACTCATGTAACGAAGTTTCGCCAGCTCAACAAAATCAAATTCTATGTTGAAACCCAAACTCGAAATACACCCTTGGGGAATTCGACGGTTAAATCCAACCTCGGATTGCTCAACCCTTCAATCAGAGTTTCCAACCTTGGGAACAACTACAGAGAGCACGCAACCCAGCCAAGCAGCGCAGCAGAAAAATCGACAGCGCACCTAGCGGAAAACAACTACAGCCATGGTTTCTTCCAGCACAGCTATATCTCATCATTTCTACGAACGTCGTCAGCAACAGCAGTACAAGGAAGACTATGCTAGGATGCAATAGTTGTTAAAAATAGATTGCAAATCCCACTTTTGTATTTGTACTTTTATATCATAGTTTAGGTTATGAATGTTCTAGTGGGTTGGGGTTTACTCACAAATCCCAACCTCACCCAATTGTGATCCCCCCAATCTCCAAAGCGAATATTCGGGCTACACGTAGCGCCGTTCAAAGAGCTGCTGTCGCTGCACATTGTGCGCCTGCTGCTATCGCTCCCGATGCTGTTCCCGCACCTGCCCCCGCTACGGGTGATCCTACCCCTTCCAATGATGCTGCTGCCACTGCTGCCCCTACCGCTGTTATGTATCCTTCTGCTGCGAATGATGCAGCTATGCATCGGATGGTTACGGAATGTGGTGCTGGCAGTGCCGACGTTCGTACAGCCGGTGCTACTGCCGCAGATGCTACCGCCCCTGGTTCTGGCGGTTCTGCTACCACTGTCCCCGCTGCTCCCCCTCCACGTCGGTCCCTTCCGCCGTCCCTGCGGTCGCGACTGGCACCGCTGCTCTTGCAGATGGACCTGTTGCCGCCGCGCCCGTGCCCACTGCTCTTGTCCGTGACCCAGTCGGTATCCCTGCTCCGGCACCTGCCGCGGGTGCTGGTGCTCCTGCCACGACCCAAGCTACCACTGGCCCCTTTGATGCAACAGATGGTGACTGTGCTCCAGCCCCCCCCCTCCCTGTCGCCGTTGCTGTTGAGGACGCGGGTGAGGAAGATGATGGGGACTGGGAGGAGGGGGAAAACAGTGAGGAGAAGGAGGAGGACGGCGAGGACGAGGAGGAGAATGAGCCGATCCGGCATCGTGGTCGGCGGCGGCAAGGGGTCGTAGGGGTGAGGGATGGGGGAGAAGGTGGTGGCGGAGAAGGTGGTGGGGGAGAGAGGGGTGCTGGAGAAGGTGGTGTGGGAGAGGGGGGTGCTGGAGGTGGGGGTGATTTTGACGATGAGGAGGTGGAGGAGATTCTCGGATGGCAGATGAGAGCGAGACGGCAGCGGGCGCCGCCAGTGGTGGGACCCAGGTAGGGGAAGAACAGCGGGTTGCATCGTTGGACGATTGCCATCCCCACGGCAACTGGAGTTCTGGAGGCAGCAGGTGGGGCGGCGGGTGGTTGTCCCTCAGTGCACATTCTGGTGGATGGAACACACGCCAACACTTCCCCACGCTCCGAACATCCACCTCCCAAGGTACCCGTTCCTAATGGCTCGGCCCATCGTGGAGCCAGGGAGCTGGGAGGCCCCATATCCACCGCTGCGGGACCCCATGCACCCGTACGAGGCTCCTTGCACACCGAGGAACACGAGGGCGACACCACAGACTCTCATGTGTACTCAGCAGAGTGTGCTGACCATCCACGCGGAGGCCCTGCGCGATCCAGAGGCCGCTCATCGTGCATACCACAACGCTGTATGGGTACGTGGTGGAAACCCACGAGGCCTACCAGGTTGTCGTGGCAGAGGCTCAGGCGCTGTTGGTTGTTGGTCGCCCTTCGGTGTACGTGAGCCTGCTGCAGGGCGATCTGGAAGTGCGTGGAGTCGGTGTAGGAGTCAGGAGAGGCGGGGGGGGGGGGGGGTCAAATAGGCGGAAGGGGTGGGAGAAGGGGGGCGGTCAAGAGTGGGGCAGCACGTACAGGACGTGGGGAGTTGGGCCGGGGGCGGTGGGACGGAGCTGTGTGCATGCCTGGCGGAACTGGTGATGGCATAACATTCGGCCAGGGGCTTGGCCCCGGACGGGTGGCGCCACAAATAGAGTGGGCTCGCACCGCGCACGTGCCACTGCATTGGGTAGGGGGGCTTTTGGACTACCCACTGCTATGTGCCGTGCACGGATGCGGTGCATGGAGACAACAGTAGGAACACACTATTGGTGCACTGCTGGGATGTACTTCTGAATAGCGAAAGACCAGGAGGTATCGTAGGAGCAAGCATGTATAGTATAGATCAGGATACAAGGAGTGGAGCTGCTACTGAGACTAGACCAAGCTGAGTACAGAACCTCTGATGGTCACGAAGGCGCTAGTGCCTTGGTGATGGTATCAGCGGTAATGGCCTCTGAGGCCAACTGTACCATACGAGCCTGGCCGTGCTGCTGCAACTCACGAAGGAAGAAGTACCACAGCTGGATATGCTTTGCCCTGCCCTCAAGTCGAGCCTCCTCACACCGTAGGATTATGGCCTTGTTGTCAGCAAACAAGACCAAGGCAGACCTAGGCGGCTCACCTAAGTCAATGAGTTAGAACGACTGCCAGCGGAGCTCCTGAGCGGCCATGGCCCCAGCGTAGATCTCTGCCTCACTGTTGGACGGAGCTACAGACGACGACAAAGTGGACCTCCAAGAGACTGCACTGGCACCAAGGCTAAAATAGTAGCCCTGAGACGACCTGAGCATCCCGAAGTCATCAGCCCACGACGCTTCAATGTGTCCAGTGAGTACCACAGGCTCCCGTACACCTAGCACAAGCCCCAGTCCTGATGTACTTGCCAGATCCCACAGTACCCTCTCGATAGCCGACCTGTGGAATGGTCGGTGCCGGCCTGTCGCAACAAAGCGACACAGGAGACTGAGAGGTACGCTAGAGCTGGTCAAGTGCACGTCATCAAGTACATGAGGCAACCCACCAGCTCTAATATGGACCACTAGCCTCGACCGGCTCAGCTGGAATAGGGGTGGGCTTGTGATCTTGTGATCCACAGGCATAGGGGTGGGCTGTGCTGAGGAGAACTAGAGCCTGAACCTATGGAGGATCTGCAGCACCATATGGGACTAGGAGAGTGGGATCGTGCAAGCGACATGGTTACGAGAGATCTCCAAGCCCAAAATAGCGCCTCAGCTCCCCCAGGTCAGTGCAGGTGTGCCTTCTAAGGAACTCGGCCTTCACTGAGGCCAGTGCGTCTCTGTCAAGAGTAGCAAAGATAAGATTGTCTACATACACTACAGATGTAGAACGGAGTCTGACCCATGCAAACAAAGTGAGAGGGGTCAGCAGGGGACGGGAAGAACTGCAGCTCAACAAGTGTGGTGCAGAGCGTGTCGTGCTACTCACGGGGTGCCTGAAACAAACCGTGGACAGGGCGGCGCAGGCTCCACTAGGTCCCAGGTGCGAAGGACCTAGAGAAGCCTAGTGGGCACCGGAGGAAGATCTGCTTGTGCAGACTACCCTGCAGCAAGGCAGTGGAGAAGTCGAGCGAGTGAATCTCGTAGTCACTCTGTGCGGTTACGTGAAGGAGCACAAGAAAAGTAGTCATCTTTGGGGTCGGGAAGAAGTTCTGGAAGAAGTACACACCCTCTCGCCTTGACCTTCGGCGACTCTTCAAATGCGCGCTTTACCCTGTAGATGCACATCCAATCAACCCCATCACCACACAGCCATGATGTCGTCTTCAATGAGACACACCCCTTCCACTCTGCGACCACGGGCGAGCCTCCTCCACCTCCCCCGATACTTGTATGGGCAGACTTCAATGCCCCACCTCTGGCCGCTGCCCCTTCTCCGGGGCCTGCTCCATCTGGCGTGTCTCACCCGGCCTCCCCTGTTATCCTCCGCAGCGGCACCTCCTCTGCTCCACTTTCCCCTCGCGTCGAGCCCAGCTCACCAGTCTCCTACCGGAGGCACCCAGTTCCTCCGATCCCACTGCAACCGCCTTCATCTCTGGTCTCTAGTCGCACTCGTTCAAAGGGACCGGCTCGCCTCTCACCTGGGGACCAGCCGCCTTCTCCATCCGGTGTTCGATCACCCCGCCTCCTCCTGCTCGGGGTGACCCTGCCCCGGTGTTCGTTCACCCCACCCCGTCCCCTCCATCCGTATTCCCCCCCGTGCACTTCTGGAGGACAGGCAGGAGGAGCTATTTGACCTTCACGCGGTCTGCCAAAATCTCTCTCACATCTTCCTAGACATTACTGACTGCCCTTCCCTCAACTTCACCGAGAACCCAACCATTCGGCCTCCTCGCACAAAAGAGGAAGCAATAAAGAGGAAGCAATCTTATAAGAAGGACTGGAAGGCAGCAACGGATGTGGAGAACGAGGCGTTCATTTGCAGCAACTTTTTTACGATATCGTTTCCCTTTCCGGCGTCAACATCGTCGGCAAAAATTGGATCTTCCAAGTCAAACAACTCCCAGGCAAAGCTCCATTGTTCAAGGCACGCTACTTGGCGAAGGGTTTCACCTAGAAGGAGTCTCTCGACTTCTTTGAAACCTTCTTGCCCACGGCCAAGCTTCTGACTGTGGGCACTCTCCTTAATATAGCCGCTTGCGGCAACTTCAAGATCAAGTCCATGGACGCCTCCTCAGAGGCCAGCTCAAGGAGGATGTTCACGTGAAACGC